CACTGAAAAAGCCAGATATGCGGGACCAGTGATTCAAAGTGCCAGGCCTCATGTGGTGGGAACTAGGCCATCTCTTCCCATCTCCCTGCCCTTTTGGGGTCCTGACTGTCACGTCCATGAACTGCCTCTGGCTGCTATTTAAGCGCATTAATGACCATGATCCAGAGACTCACATAGGATTTCTCAGAACCGAGAAGCAGCTCCCTGCAGGAAAGGCTCCAGTCCCCAATTATTTAAATGTTTATGATCCCAGGAGCATGTGGCCACTTTTGCAGCTGCACAATATATCCACTGTATACTGTCCTCCCGTTGTTCATCGATTTGCTTGAGCGGGCACAATATATCATACTTTTTTAAAAATCACTGTGAGATAGACCCTTACAGACATCTTATACTATTCATAACAAGCAATTCAGAATAAATTATCTAGTATCTGCCTGTGGGCAGACTTGAGTGGTGGTGGTAAACTTCAAAATACTCGTGGTGGGAAGGTGTAATGGTGGTGGGATTGGTGTTGAAACATTGAATGTGATCAATGATTATGATATTATTATTAAGATAATAAATTTAAAATCACAGTCACGGTTCTCCTATTGTTCATTGATTTGCTCGAGCGGGCCCAGTAATGTCTCCATCATGAGAATTGTTGTTACTGTGTTTGGCATATCGAATACGTCACGGTGAGCTTGCCAGGTTCTGCCGTGTGGGCAAGATACTCTCGGTAGCTTGCCGGGCTCTCCGAGAGGGGTGGAAGAATCGAACTCGGGTCGGCCATGTTGGCCGCTTGTAAGGCAAACACCCTACCGCTGTGCTATCACTCCAGCCCCCCCCAAAATTTTAAATATAAATTAAAAAAATAATTACTGCTATTTGCTGCCACCCAACAAATCAACTCATAATGTTAGTATTTAATTGTATTTGAAAAAATATATATTTTCAAGTACAATGGTGGTGGGAAAATGTGCACTGGTGAAGGGATGGGTGTTGAAACATTGTATGGCTAAAAACCCAATCGTGAACAACTTTATAACTGTGTGTCTTGTGGCGATTCAATAAAAAAGAGAGATCAGAAAAAAAATTGAGAATATTATGCTCTTGGACTATAACCTACATGTACTATATTTGGGAGGGCTGTAACAATAGCTCAGCGGGTAAGGCATTTGCCTTGCACGCAGCCAATATGGCCGACCGATTTCAATTCCTCCGCCCCTCTTGGAGAGCCTGGCAAGCTACTGAGAGTATCTCATCCGCACGGCAAAGCCTGGCAAGCTACCTGTGACATATTTGATATGCCAAACACAGTAATAGAAGACTCACAATGGAGACGTTACTGGGCCCGCGCGAGCAAATCGATGGGAGGACAGTGACAGTGACTATGTTTGGGAGGAGAACAGAAAGACAAGTAAATATGTCTAATAAAACTAACCAATATATTGAGTTCCTCACCACAGCACTACTGTTTTGCTTATCTGATATGACTGTCATGAACACTTGCACCAGGGAGCTGCGCTAATTCATTGAATTTCTTCTTTATGGATAGATATTATGTCAAAAAAATGTGGGAGAAAGACAATGTATATAACTTAATGTATTATTTTTCGCTTCCCTTATGTGGCTGCTGTTATGAAGGCTGGTGGTCACACATCTAGGTGTAGTATGCTCACTTTTGGTTGCAATTCTTTTTTTGTTTTTCCTTTTTTGGGTCACACCTGGCAATGCACAGGGGCTACTCTGGACTCTGCACTCAGGAATTACTCCTGGCAGTGCTTGGGGGACCACATGGGATGCTGGGGATTGAACCTGGGTTGATCGCATGCAAGGCAAATGTCCTTCTCACTATACTATCACTCCGGCCTCTGGTTGCAATTCTTGCTGGGGTTGTGCAATGTCTGCACTGACATCTGCTACCACAATGAAATATCAATAATTTCATTTAAGGTTGTGGGATATCCTCGGGATTAAATTTAAGGTCTCACACATGTAAGACATTAGTTCTACCACAGAGTCACATCCCTAAACCCATAAAGAATTTTAAATTCTCCTTCTCGATTGTATTAATTTGTCCTTTGTGTTCCACGTAAAACTGCAATCACCATTATCCTTCTTATATGAATTTTTCACGTTAAGACAGACCTGGGCTTCACCAGATATTTCAAAATTGTTTTCATTTTATGTTTTCCTTCATTGATTTGGAAAGGGAAATAACTCTTGACAGTTCATCTTTGTTGCAAAATTCAAAAGTTTGTTACAACTTTCCATTTAACTCACAAAGAAATAACTGCTATATTTATAGTCGTCACTCTTTCATTTTGTATTTTGATTGCTCTTTTTATCTTCTCTATTTTTGTCATTAAAGGTCTTGTCAAATGTCTGTATCATTGAGCTTATCAAATAACTATCTTCTCTTTATTAATTTCCCACATTATTTTTATTATGTTCTTCAAACTTATTCTAGTTTTTGTCCTTATTTTCTGTTGCTTTTTTTGGAGGGTGGGTGGTTATACCCAGCAATTCTCAGGACTTACTTCTGGGTCCATGCTCAGGGATCATTCCTGGCACGGATTCCGGTTCCATATGAGATAGCGAGAATGGAACCCAGGTTGGTTGCAGACAAGGGTCCTACTTGCTGTATTTTCATGATGCACCTTTATGTTGCTTTTAAAAAATAATACTTGGTTGGGGATGGAGCAATAGTAAAGTGGGTAGGGCATTTGTCTTGCATACAGCTGACCCAGGTTTGATCCCTGGCATCCCATATGGTCCTTCGAGCACTTCCAGGAGTTAATTCCTAAGTGCAAAGTCAGGATTAACCCCTGAGCATCACTGTGACCCCAAAAGCCAAAACAAAAAAAATTTTTAAATAATTCTTGGGTAACTATTTAAATACATTTTTATAAGATCGGATTTTTGTTTTGTTTTGTTTTGTTTTCAGTTAATTTTTGTGGTTTTTGCGGGCTGGAGTGATAGCACAGCGGGTAGGGCATTCGCCTTACAAGCGGCCAACATGGCCGACCCGAGTTCGATTCCTCCGCCCCTCTCGGAGAGCCCGGCAAGCTACGGAGAGTATTCAATATGCCAGACACAGTAACAACAAAGTCTCCAATGGAGACGTTACTGGGCCCGCTCGAGCAAATCGACGATTAACGGGAGGACCTTTACCTTTACCTTTACCTTTGTTTACAAATTTTTTTTAGGAGTGCTGGTTCATGTATATGTTTGACATCATACCCATCATTAAGTATCAGTAATCTCTGTCACAGTGCACTGAACTCCCACACTTGACTCCTACCTTTGCTCCTTGTGATAACCTCAGTTCTTCATTCAAGAGTCTAAGGTATTGTTTTGGTTTGATTTTTGAAGTCTTTTTTTTTTTTTTTTGGTGCCACACCAGCTGTCCTCAGGACTTAATCCTGGCTCTGTGCTCAGAAATCGCTCCTGGTGGGAGTTGGGGACGGTATATGGTGCTGGGAACTGAACATAGGAACTGAATAAACTCCCCACTATTGCTGTACTATTGCTCTGGTCTTCTTTTTTCTAATTCCACAAATGAATGATACCACCTGGTATTCTCTATTCCCCTTGTTTACTTTGTTTAGCTGATTTCCATCCATGTTGTTAGAAATATCAAGATTTAAAATTTTTATTATAGCTAATGCTTATTCATTGTATGCACTGCATTGCTCAAGATGCTCAGGGACCCCTCCCAGCAATTCCTGATCAATATGGCTAGCTGTTCAAGACAAGGGCCCAAGTACGTAGTGCTACTTGGGTCCTGTAGTGCGAGAGATTACCCTAGGCACCAGGGGACCTCCAGAGACACACCTGGCAATGCATGGTGGCCTCCAGAGACGCACCTGGGATCTCTGACTTTCAGGATAGAACTGGGGTGGGCAGCATGCAAGGCAAGCACTTTAACCCATGTATGCTCTCTGGCCCCAAATCAATATATTATTAAATGATTAAGATTTTAGTCAGTATAACCTACTTTAAAAGTAGAGAAACTTGTAACCAGGATTTTTAAAAGGCAAAACAATTTTACTTTTAAATTGTTTTCCTCCTATTAACTGCACAAGGCAGTTTACAAATACATCTCTACTTGACAAAACTGTATCTTTTAAACTCCTCCTCCCACACCTTCCTCCCAGCGCCAGGTGGACCTAAAGGTGCAGTGCATTACTTTCAAAAGTGTGTGACGCCCTTAAAAGATCCCTATGCAGTAACACCTTTTGATCTTCTGGTGAAAGGGCCCTTTTGTTCCCTTAAAGAAGATAAACTCACCTGTTTTTTTCATAATCGAATAGGGGGACAGTAGGACACAGAAATTTGGGAACCTTTGTCACACGTTAAACAGAACTAAATTCTCAGATAAGAAATTTAACAAAGGTCAGCAAAAGACTTCTAGAAAACTCTGGAGATTAAAAATGGCAAAGATATCTGTATGGGGAACAAAAGTTCTGTAAAACAAAATAAGTAAATGACAGTAATTTTGACCAAGGTCTGAATGGGGAGGGTGGAAAAATTAAAGACAATGTTTTTGTCTTTTTCTTTTTAAGAATGGGAAAAGAAAGGCCATCTAAATTTTTCTCATGCCACAAGTGTATGGCAATTCCAGAAGAGCCTTCTCTAGCGTCCTAGAGTACTGAAGGGAGAGGAAGATTAAAGAGCAGCAAAGCTCACAGTAGAAGAAAATTTACCACTGACCCCGGAAACACTTCGTTTTGCGTAGAAATCTGGCGGACCTCCTTTTGCGATTGGCTACTTGATCCGGAAGAAGAGACAGCAAACGACTCAGGATTGGACCGAATAATAAAGGTGGGGCTTTAGCGAACCAGTGACCTTAGAAACCGGAAGTGACGGAAAGGAAGTCGTCGGCTGACTTTTTCTCTGGTTGGCGCCTTCGGTGGGCGTGGACAGCCGAGCCCGTCAGGCGAGGTTTTCACCCGCGACCCGGCCCCTCCGGGGGCGGTACCTTAAGGCTACGCCTCCCGCGCCGACTCTGGGTGGCTCTGAACCGACGTCGTAGGCTCTAAGGGGCGGAGACTCGGAGAGGACTTTTGTCTGGGAGCTTAGGGACGGGCTGACGCTGTCACCTACTTGGAGACTTCCGGCGCTAGTGGGCTCTGCTCCCTCCCTCCTCGGCCGAGGACACACCCAGTCGCGAGCCGCCGACGCTCTCTTCAGCATCGATTTCTGTCGCGTTGCTTTCGGGCAACTGCAGCCTTCAGTTCGCCCGCGCTATTTTCTAGTCTTGTGGACGACCTCGGCTCCCTACTGCCCACTCCCCTGGATGCTCTGGCCCCCGGCGCCCCTCTAAAATGTCTAATAACCTACAGAGGATCTTCCTGAAACCTGCTGAAGAAAAGTCAGGCAGCGCCTCGCATTGGTAAGTACCGGTTTCGAATTTCCCTCGACACACCCGCCCCTCGCCCGCCTCTCGGGAAGTCGAGCGGGGCCGTCGCTTCCTGCCTTTCTGCCGCGCCGAGGAGTGTCACACCCCGCGGGCCGAGCCACGCTGGCGAGAGTGCCGGTCGCGTCGCGCTCAGCGCGTGGAGCGCGCACTCCTCAAGGAAGCGTCACTGAGACAAACCGAAAATACGCCCGGCGCCGGACGCAGCCAGATCCCCGCCGTGACTCCGCAGGACGCCGGAGTCGCCAGTGTCTTTGGTCGAGGAGTAGATCCCCACGGGCGAGGACAGCAATATGGCCGACGTTCCCGGGGAAACAAAATCTTCTGGAAGATTCGCGCGTTCGCGGCAAAAGTGCGCAGCTATCAGCGCGGAGTTGCAAGTGCAACCCAGGTGGCGCTGGACTCCCGTGCAAGCAGCCGTGATTTCAGAGCGTAGGGAGAGGAAAAGAAGGCGGTTTTGCGTGTGCAAATGAGTATCTGGATGGAGAGGTTGGAAAATTGTTCCAGAGTAAGTGGGTTGCGGGGTTGGGTTGGGTTTTTTTTTTTTTTAACTAGAACAGTAGCTTTCTATGAAGGAAAAGAAAATGGAATAGAGACGTGGTCCTATAAAACCTACCCTTTGGAGCAGCCTGTTAGAAGCAGGTGACTGGTGTGCCAGATTTAATTGGGTGTCTCATTGGAGGAACCACGTTTGACAGTGGGGAGATGTCAGTATGCCTGAGAAAGAAATACTCATTTGTAAATTTATTAAGCAGTGTACTACGCAGCCTTCCTTTTTTATTTTTTTCCCCTCTTTACCTCTTTAAACCTTATGCTAGCATCACATGAAACCGGAACAAAATTTGTGGCAGAGTATTTTTAAGTTGCTCGCACCATGGTTAATGGACGTGTAAGTTGCGTGAAGAAAAGTTAATGGGTTTCTGCAGAAAGAAAATATGAAGAAAGCCTGTAAATTGAGATGGAAAAATCACGGAAGGAAAAGAATTGTGATCGAAGAAGACCAGTCTGCACGTATTTGATTTTAGCTTTCCCGGGTACTATTTGTGGAACCAAATATCTGGTTTCCAGTTTGTAAATCAAAGCACCTAGAGATATTTCAAGAGAATAATGAGTGTAAAAAAATAGTACAGGGAAGCTAGAGAAGCAGTATTTAGATGTCAGCTAATAATAGCTAATAGTCGCTGTCACTGTTCCTGATTCTAGCCTACGAAGTAGCTTTAATTACAAATAGATACAAACATTAATTATAAATACAGACATTCACAAAAGCATTAACATTCGGACATGAAATGGTCTACAGAAATTTTCAGCTAAAACAAAATGGAACTACAAAGACAGATGTGTTGTCTCTCAAATCAAAATTGGCTTTCTTGAATTTATAGTCGGTGCTCAGAACTTACTCCTGGCTCTGCGCCTAAAGATCACGCCTGGCGGATTCTGGGGTTGGGGCTGGAGGTAGGGTGCGGGAGATCGGAGATGGAACTTGAGTGGGCCTCGCGCAAGGCATACTCCCTACCGGCTGTACAGGGCTGTGCGGCTATACGTCCTACCTACCGGCTGGGCCCAATAGTTTCGATGGAGGTTGGGGCAAGAGGCCGAGGTAATGTCCTTTATAGATAGATATATAAAAGTTGAGTTTCTTTTAAAATACTGCGCATTTCTTTTAGTACCTTTTAGTAGCATGGTGTTTAATGACATTTGACTTACTCATATTACTTTAGTATTTCTTTTTTAGAAACAGATTTACATTTTTATTTGTGGTTTTTCTTTTTGGTTATCCATATTTGATATTTTAAAATTATAAATAGAATCATATTTCAGATACATTCACAAATCATTTCGAATTCATTGGCATTGTTTTCATCACCTTTGAATGCATTTATGTTTTTCAAATCTTTTGGGGTTACTTTATAATTTGGGGCAGATTACCACGTCTTTCTGAAGCTGTTTGATCCTTACTTTGCATATTGATTATATACTTGATTCTGCTGCTTAGAAGTAAATATGCATCATCCAAATACAGTTTTGCAAATAATTTGATTGTCAGCTCTTTATTGGAAAAGCTTTCTTTTTCTGATATTTTGATAGTATTAAATAGTTTTTGCGATAAATTTAAAATGTAAAAACTTAAAATGAGTGTAAGACTTACCTTTCTGTCTCGGTATTTGAAATTTTCTCGTTACTGCTTGTTTTTAAAACTTATTATTTGATAATAGAATACAGGATGTTTATTTTTTAAATCGTCTTCATCAGGACATAAAATAATACCTAAGGTTAATTCCATATTGAAAAGGAAAATTCTGAAAGATATTTGTGATAATAAGATAGTTGTGGTAATAAGATATTTGTGAAATAAGTTTGTTTAGATTTGGGCTTTATTAACAAAGAGTAAAGTACGAATCAAATGGCATAAAGAAAAACAAACTTTGAAATTAGACCTAGTTCAATACTTATTATCAGTGTCATTCAGACGTTTGATTTAAAAAATTTACTGAATGACTATTGTATGATAGTCTGAAGAATAGGATACTATGGACTGTGCCTGTGAAAAAACTTATAATCTTTTGGGGAGACCGGTACAATTTTAATTGTTTTACACAAGGTGCTGTGAGGACATAGAGAAAGAGAATTGTAAAATTCCCGGAGCAGCAGAATTGGTTAATGTATGCAGTCAATTCTCCAATTAAAGGTGAATACAGGATATGCCCAAGAAGAGGTTATTGGTAAATAAAACTCCAGCATGTCTTATTTCAAGCAATTGATATTGATTTTTTTATTCTATACTATAAGCAGTATAAATTGGTAATGCACTTAGCAGTTTGGTTTGCCTTGCTAAAGTGGTTAGATTTTATCTCTTGGAGATAATTTTTTTAAAAGAAAAGTGTTTTTAAAAAGAACTTATGGTGAAATGTGCATTTAGGTAATGGTGTTAGAGTTGACTTTGTGGGCAAGGGATCAAAGACCAAAGTATTTTATTTCAGTTGTCCTTTCAGAGATTTTAAGAGCCTAAAGTAGTTGATGTAGAGTAAAGGTTGAATTCAGAAAACAGAGAAGGGAAAATTGCACACTTTATCAGTACATTGGTGTAAAGAAAAGGGAATCGATTATGATATCATTTTATTTGATAGGGATTGGTAGATTGAGGTGAGAAACATACCCAGAAAGGAAAGAGATTTGAATTAGAAACCCAAATAGGGTTAGAACTGGAGAGTTACTATGTCTGTGACATGCTATAGTAAAAGCCTGTGATAATATATACCACAGTAATAGGAATTAGGGTGTCTTGTGATTGAATCCTGGTTTCTATCCACCATTAACCCTTTAATCTCAAATGGGTAGCTAAAATATGTCCCCAGTAAAGGCACTGGTTTGGCTAGGAAGATAATGCTTCATTGTCTTTTTAGTTGACATTGAAAAGGTAATTTAGTTGACATTTGTCATCTAGTTTTGTATGGTGTGTTTTTATGTGGATTTGTATGCATAAGAATTATAAACCTTACAAACTAACAAATCTGTTTCTCATTAATCTCTCATTTTATGCTTTTGAGGACTTTGAGCAGTGTTATATTAGGCCTCATTCTAAAGTAAATACCAGAAAGTGAATAAGCTTGCCCAAGAGAATATGCAATTCTGAATAAATTATTTAATATTGCTTACCTTCTGTTTTTTCCCACTATAAAGTGGGAATGACATTGCCCATCTTGGCTGGACTATAGAATTAGTTAATAGCTATTATTTGTAATAGTATATCTATTATATACATAATTTTGTATGGTATATATTACCATGTATACTATTACATCATGTACTCATGTCTGTTATACATGTATATAATGAATGCCATAGTAAGATGGGAAAAGTTTTCCTAGTGGTTGAAAAATATATTTTGCAAAATGTCAACAAAAAGGGTTATTGTCTGCAAAATTTGCGTTATTCCATTTCTGATATATAAGTACTTTGTTTTTATTAGGCTAGTAAAAATGTCAGTAATTTCTAAGTGTGTTGGATTAGAGAGGTAGTACAGTGAATAGGCATTTCTTAAACACTGTGTGATTTAGGAATGCTAAGCAGCAGTGCTTTAGGGATCCCAAGTGGGAAGAAGTTAAAGTGAGTTTGAAGGACTAGCATATATTTTCTGAAGTGAATTGAAGTTGAACCTCAGATAACTGCTTTATATTATTGAAAAAAGTTTTTAAAATCTCTTAATAGTACTTAGAATAGAGGATGCCTGGAACAGTTCAGCTTTGGGTGTGCAAGGTGTGCCTCAATTCCTGTCCCCCACAAACCAAGGATGATTGCTCCATAGCTGGAAGCCTGCCTTATGATCAAAGGGGAGAAGGCAGCTGGAATAGAGAAGGGATCACTAAGAAAAAGATGGGTGGAGGAATTGGCCGGGATGGGAGATGTGTGCAGAAAGTTGATAAAGCACCAAACATGATAACCTCTCAGGGTCTGTATTGCAAACCATAATGCCCAAAAGTAGAGAGAGATTATGGGGAATTATGTCTGCCATTGAGGCAGGGGGAGGGTGGGAAAGGGGGGATATACAGGAGATATTGGTGGTGGGGAATGTGCACTGGTGGAGAGATGATGGGTGTTTGATAATTATGTGATTGTAACTCAAGCATGAAAGTTTGTAATTCTCATAGTGATTCAATCATGGTCACGGTCTTCCCGTTGTTCATCGATTTGCTCAAGCGGGCCCAGTAATGTCTCCATCATGAGACTTGTTGTTACTGTGTTTGGCATACCGTGCAGGCGAGATACTCTGGGTAGCTTGCCGGGCTCTCCAAGAGGGGTGGAGGAATTGAACTCGGGTCGGCCATGTTGACTGCGTGCAAGGCAAATGCCCTACCGCTGTGCTTCAATGTGCACAATGTGCACAGTGATTCAATAAAATTTTTAAAAAAAGAATTACATTCTCTGTAAAGTAACAGAATGGGAGACTAACATCCGAGAACAGTAGTGATAAGTAC